GTTCGTTTAATTTTTTTTTTTCGTTTCTTTGTTTTAATTTAAGATTAGATTCAATTCAAGAGATAATAAAAATGATAAAAATGATTTTTTACTTTATTAAAAATTTTATATAAAATGTATTAAAATATTATTTAATTGTATAATTACATTATCAAATGACTTTTTAAAAGAGTTTTATTAATTATAAATAATATATAAATAAATAATAATACTTTTAAAAGTGATATTTTTGTTGAAAGCATTTTATTAAAAATTCGCTGATCGTTATAACGATATAAATATCACAATGAACTTCTAATGAAAATGGTCGTACACAAGTAAAAAGCTGTTCTTCGTGTCGCCACTCCAACTTTTCTTTTCTTTTCTTTTTTCTCCTTACTTACTCCCCCTTCTCTTCGTCACTCGGCATTTCCCCTCAATCTCCTAACTCCATCAACTTTTCTAGGGATCTAACGGATAATATATAACTTTCATTCCTAAACTATACAAGCCATATTCCCGCAGACATAAGTTTTAACAAACAATAACTTTAGTTGTAGTAATTGCGTATAACATTTACATTTTTTTTCATTCTTTTTTTCTTTTTTTCATTATATTTTTTTCTTTTTAGTAGTAAAGATATTTATAAATGGAAACAAGATATACCAAGAGATATATTATAATTACGATGAAACACGCAATATTGTTAAAAAAATGATAAAAACAATTTTATGAGAAAAGAATTGTGAGAAATAAAATATCATTCGGTCTAAATTAAAAAAAATATATCGATTATAAGAATGAAACAACAAAATATTCGATTCTAGATGATAAGAGGTTAGTTTCGTCCGGCATGGACGGAAAGAAGTGAAAGTTAATTTTTAAACAGGCTGTTACAAAAGCATAATTGCATAGTTAGCCAATCAGGCGATCATTGTTTTGAACGAAATGATAGATGCCATCAAACTATCATTAAAGTTGCGATTATGTAAGCGAATAATATTGAGTATCGAAAGGGTTTGCATCTTTCTTGCGAATAAACCTGTATATATGTATAACGTTACCACTGATCACGCGTTATTAATACATATTGAAGAACATGTGTCAGCGATCATGATTTATTATCGGTCAACCACTACTATTTATGCATATTCTATCAAGATTAACTTCTTCATTGGAACGCATTCATCATTTATATCAGATCATAATTATTAGAGATTATTTAAGAAAAATTATAATTTCATCTAATATATTATTTTTTTTTATCGTTTATAATGTTAAATATTAAATATATTTTTTATTCGCATGATTATAAATATTACGAACCGGATTTCCATGAATGTTATCGATTAGTTGAAAGCATTGAAATGTAAGTTAGAAATATTTCATCGTTGTTTATTCAACGTGTTATATTATAAATCGACATTTTCTATTAGATACAAAATGTGTAGTTGGAAAAATGATGGTACGGTTCAATGCATCAAAGCAGAGCAATCGTTTGTCGAATGAGTGGTATACTCTCGTCTTTATTTTCAGTAGCAGCGCTGGTTATTTTTAGATAGGTTTGGTCACCTTCGAAAGCGTTCTCTCATCGAACACTATGTATATTCGACATATTGATATTCTAACTTTATGTCGTATTTTATACGATTGTTGAAACTTTTTAATTATACCTATGTTAATTTATATTTTTAATAGATCAATAATATTGATATTTATATTTTATCAATAAATTAAATGATCTTAGATACATGTGTCCTTAATATAACATGTACACAATGATACAAAAGAGAATGTAATTTTCAATTTCTTCTTGATTTTTTTATTTGTTACAAACTTGTTACTCTATTATTTCATTTATATTACATTCAATTCAGAGGAAATCATTGAGATAAAAGTCAATTTTCCCAACATATATCAAAGAAATGAACCTGTTCTTTTATTAGTGAGCAATCGTGATTGCAAGCGTAACTATTAGTTAGAGTACATCTCATATGGCTCTCGTATCCTTTTCCCGTGACTACAATGCAGTGACGTACGATCGACGGTGATGATAACAGTATTTACTGAATTTTCTTTAGTGTTATCTTCACAAGCTTCCGCAACGTCCGTGTTTCTTTCATTAATTTACACGCGAAATTTGTTAACCTTCTGTTTATGTTGTTTGACGCGGATTAGCAAGATTTTCTACTTCTATTTTAACCTTTACGACCAATAAGCGCCATTATGACTACATCCATTCGTTGAGCTTTCCAAA